AGTGCACTCTAAAATACCACACCTCAATTACCTTCAGGCTGTGTTGTCTAAATAGTCACAGTAAATATGACGAATGTTCTTAGTCAATAAGACTATTTATAATCTTGTAGCGATTATGATGTAAAATTCCAAACGCAATTAGCGTGTCTATGTGCTTTTAATTCGATGACATGATGTAAAAGTTAGACCAATAAGGCATAATGGTCTTTTCTACGTAGACTATAACAGTACGGGTTGTTTACAACTTTCATTGAATTACTGGTAAATTCCATTTACGAGTAGCTTTCATAAATAGTGCACCTACTCAATGGGGCTTTAACAATAATTCAACCAGTTTATTATACGAGTTGTTAGATTCTCTTATGGCTACAATTTGTTGTAATTTTCACTAACCCTGTTGAATTATCGTAAAGGCCCTTCAGTACCTCTTTCATTGGTGGAAAATAAGATAAGATACGTTAATGTGGAACACATTCTGAAGTGCTCTGAATCACTGGCCTAGTCTCACTGCAATCCCAATGCACCTTTCCCCACAACAAACAAAAAATGTCTTTCTTGTTGCAGAAGCTCTAGTCCTTTGGCCGTTGGGGCTAGTTGGTTCTTCAATAATTCAAATTTTATTTGATCTCGAAGGATCACTGCATTAATCCATTGGCTGTATTTCTAATTCGGTTGAGTGTCCTTTTCATCGTACTGAATGAATTGATAAATTTGTGCACTTCTGTATAGCGTTACGTTTAGGTTGCACTTCTGTTCTGTTCTGTTGTGTTTAACATGGATATTGTAATAATTAGTCACAAAACGTTTATAGTAAGAAAAAAATTAAAATCGAACTTTCGTTACCTTTTTCATCTTCATGTTTTACTCTACTACTCTATTGAAGTTAACTGCAAAATTCCATTCAAAGAACTGAAATACTACAAAATCCTTTGTCTGGATTTGATTCTTATCATTAAGTATAATACAAAATATGTTCATGCAAATGGGGGTCATAGGTCGATTCCTTTAGGAATATTAAAATTACTTCGAACAATATTTCTTATACAAATTCCTAAAAATAACCCACCACTACAAATCAAAAATGTAAGACAACTTACAGATATTGGCGTGGGTAATATTCTCTTCTAGTAACAAGTGACCTCATTTCTCCCCGCAAAATGCCGCTTTCCTTAGAAATATGGAAACCGCTTTGATGGTAGTCGTGATGAATGCAAAACAGAAATGTCCTTACCTATTGCAAACCGGCTTCAATTTCGCGAAAGTAATACTCGAGATCGTGAGTATGCATAGGAATAAAGTGTCAATGTTCGGCTGTGTTGATACTAATTTTTTAGCGTAACACATCGAAGTTGAGGTAACGCTCATGTGCCCGATTTTACTTCGTCTTTCTGCCTGTCTGTCTGTTCCATCGAGATCTCGGCCCCTGGACCATCTACAGTCTTCGGATATTCGCTAATTTATAGCTGCTATGGTCTATATTTGTTCGTTACTCATTATTTACAGTTGTGTTACGCAGCAACACCCAGGAGTGAGCTTTGAAACATTTTTTCAATTTATTAACTAGGTTTTTTGCGTGCAATAATTGTCTTTAAATTCTCTGTCGTATGTCGTTGTATACGAATTTGATTTATCGCACAACGCGCTGTCCAATGACGTCACTTAATTTTGAGAAACTTTCTTTTAACCGACCGTTACTGTTAACTATCCGAAAAAAAGAAATTCTTTGTTTATGTCGATGAGTTTTAAGATCAGTTCATTTTCTTGTCCTGTGGTTTTAAAAGCAATTCACCTACACGAAAATGTTCCTTCGCGTAAATTTTTTCACTCGTAAATAAAAGACTTTGATTAGGCCGCTATAAAGTTTTTCTTCGCCCCACAATCCCCAGCTATTCGTCTATTTGCACACGTATAAAATTGCAGGTAACTATCAATTTATCACAAACCTGAATTTGTTACTTTTGTTTCTCCACGACCACGACATACCCGAAATTTAGTTCTCATTGTTTTTACCCAAAGTTAAATTGCCAATCCTGTACTTCTATTCGGATAGAATTCGCTCAATAAACGCACGTTCCGGTTCTTGAAATCGTACCACGAATCTTTATACATGCGTGAAATAAAATCTCCCGTACACAAAATAGTACGCGCACCTACTTTTATAACTTCGTCAAGAATTTAATTTCGACGCACTTAAAATGGTACAGGATGTTTCGCGAAAATCAACTCGGAATGAATCTTCAACGGTAGCAACAGTTCACGCACAAACATTGTACGTGATCGCTCGCCAATTTGTCTAGAATTATTTTTAACGCACCCAAATAGTACGTTTCGACTTGCGAACTTAAGCAAGAATCTCTCTCTCCCAAACTTTTTTCAGTAATTGAATCTCGCCCGATAGAAATACCGAAACGGGCCTTCCTTTATGAACGCAACGACTTCGTATAGCGCACCCTTTTGAACCAATAGTAAACCTGCAAGGAAACGAAACTTTTAGGTCCCAAGGGAATGTGGCAGCCACGCTCGCTTTCCTCTGATAAGTTTATTGTTATCGCTGATTATTGCCAAACATACTTTTGTTCACGTTCGCTATGAAGCGGCCTATGTTAACAAAATACAAATATGAAAAAAATATTTTTAATTCTAAAACGACCACACGTTGCAATTTAAGAAATTACTCTTAGCTTCGGCATGTAGAACCACAAAACGGACAACAAAAATGGAGAAAATTCCACGAAATTTGTTGTGTACATACTTGATAACAAAATTGTCGAACAGTTTTGTATAATCACTTTTCAAACAAGAGCTTCTGGATTTGAGGAATTGTCAAGTTATCCAGTAAGGCAAGCTAGGGAAGACTACACTGCTGGGATGTGAATTGGGGTTGATGCAGTTCTAGAGGAGGCATTTTGCTGGTTCAGGGCCTGGGTGAAGGCGCGGATGAGTTCCTGTGGCCCAGTAATAGTTGAGGAGGAATCAACGTTGGGTGCCCGGTTAGCCACTGATTGGAATCTCCTCCCCTTGTCATTTTGACCGGAAAATTTACTTTCACCAAAAATCACTTTAACCAACTTGTGAGTTAATTACCTAATTTGAATGCGCCATGCGGTATACTTACAGTTGGAAATTGGTTCACAAACTAGTGATCCAGGGTTTACCTTTCGTTAATTCAACTTGCATATGATTGTAACTATGAGTCAGCTTCACTACTCATCACAAAAACTGCTTACTGGAAAAAATTGCGTTTTTCTACAATCGATATCCAAAGTAGGCATTTGCGCTCGTATTTGACAACGCAAACGTCATCTTTTTCGAGGAATGTCACTTTGTCGCTTATAAGCGACAAAATAGAAAAAACGCTCGCTCTCCCAATTATTAACTATAAATCAAATATGCATTGCTCAGAGTATCCAATGACAACGAGTAAATGACATCTTTCATTTGGACATAAGATTAAAATAATCTATGATTTGAGTGAAAAATTTAAATTTTTGGAAATATGTGAACTGCTCGATTGTAGAAAAAATCTTGTGTGTAATTCGAGCGCAAATTGATTGTCGATTTCAAGAGATTGCCGCACTCCTTCGTCGCGCGTCAACTGTCTCTTTCAATCGACACTATATCATTTTGCGCTCTTAATACACAAATAGCTATAGTGCACTCAAAAGTACTTGCACAATTATGAAAAGCACAAAAGTCAAAAATTAAATTTCAGAAGTAAGTAATAGTAGTGTATTGATTATGTATAAAAAAGTGTCTCGCTGTTTTCTGCTAATATTTCGAAATGCTTAAAGAGAACTTATTCGTAAACTTCAAAGTTATATTCACTACCCTTAAAAAGTTACAGAATCTCACAGAATTCATTGATGGCTTTTGTTTAAGGGAGGCTTTTTCTACCCTTTGGTAGCTCACAAGTTGGGTAAAATTCTCTTGAGTAGCTATTTTCAGATAAGACTGAGCTTATGAACAAAGTTTCTTCGAATTCTTCCGGTTGGAAATATTAAATTTGAAATTTAAATTTTTGATTTATATTTCCTGTAAACCTCAAGGAATAAAAATATGATCAAATTAACAACTGAACTTACGAATCAAAAATCGACCGAAACCCGAAAATAATTCAACAGGATTGTTGGTTATTACTTATCTGGGTCAGTTCGCAGTTCGGTTTGCTAAGAAAATCTTTGTAAGCATAATTACCTATCTTTTGCGCATAGCCGGGTTTTGTAACTTTCTAGACACTAAGACGCCATTGATAACAGTATAAACATTCCCGCTTAAGGCCGACGCGCCTACGTGCGGCAGGGCGCGGCGTGGCGAAGCGTTTTTTTTCACCCACATTGATTTAAATCTCTTCGGCCGTTCATTATATACTATATATACTAAATAGGAAAACTCACTTAACCGAAGCGCAGCGTGGCGTATGGGCGTATTGAAATCAATGTAATCGAAAAAGGGCGATTCGCCGCACCGCTCCCACGAAGGTGCGCGTCTCCCTTTACATTTAACCATCAATTAGGCGTAATTAATAATTACACCATAACGCACAATTATATATTAATATTGTTAATAATATAAATAAAATCATTTCATATGTTTATGAACGTTTAGTTAATTTATAAATAAATGGAATTTATGATAATTTAATACGGTTATAAAAACAAATTACATCATTAACAATTTACATAAATAAGCGTAGGAACTAAATTGATATCATACCATTTAACATCAGGTGTCTGAGAAGTTCGGATACTTTTTAATGGACCGACACATTTCATAATATCTGCTTTTAGTAGCTTAATCGTTTATTGCAATTTATTAATTAAAACTGCCATTTTGTCATACATTTTTGGTGTGATATAATTAATCAGACTATTATAGGGAGGTCTCTGCCATTGAAATAGAAGACCCTCTGCCATTGAGTAAAACTTCATAGTCACCTCATGTCACATGATGTGTAAATCAAATAATTACATTTTTATTAACATTTACGTCTATTCTTTCAGATACACAATGAAGTTCTTCCTGTTACTTATTCTGGGTGCTGCTGTAGCGTACGCCAACAATGACCTCCTCAAGGAGTTTTCCGATGGAAATAGGATATTTAGTGCCAACGTCTACAAGGTATGTTCATTCATTATTTAAAGACTTGGCATGTTACACACCGCCATTATTTCAAATGACCAAAATTCAAGTGACCTGTTTGGCACTGTATAAAAAATTGGTCAATATTAAGAAACACTCTTATTCCCACTTTTACACGTCCCGTAAGTGGTTGGCAAAGTCACATCCAATAGATAGGTACAATATTTTCTTGATCAATATTTTATTAAACAAACAACGCAAAATTGTAATTCAACAGAATGTGATGAATTTAATAAGAAAATTCATTGTGGAGCTTAATCAAGTATGAAAATAAGGTATGTGAATGACAATAATTAAGTTGATGATACCGAATTAAAAACAATGATATTACGCTATTATCACTACAATAAAAATATACTAATAAAAACCGCAGACGGTGTTCTTAATCATATTCTCTACGGGAGCTACGTAAATTCGGAAATTAACGTCATTTACATCTATTCCTTTAATTAAGAAAATTGGCATCCTATCGGACATAACCCATAAGTTCCTATTTCTGTCCACTTTTATATCAACTGGGAAAATTAAACCTTCATGATCTGAATCGACGACCGCCATGTATTCTGGTTTGTACGGAAGCACTGAATTCCAGCATCCCACTGCGTTTCTGTCAACCAAGTTGTAGAACATTACCCCCGTGTCATCCATTGCTCGCGCGGTCACGTGTGAGTTTGGTCCCCGATCTTCCAAAGCGACAAAATCATGGTAGCCGTCATCCACTTTGCTGGCGTTATTCAGAATTTGTGTAGAGACCGCGAATTCTCGATTACTAGCGAGTGGGCCGAAGAATAACGTCCTATACCCATCTTGCTGTAAGGGAGATAGAATCATACCGAAGATACCTTCATCGTCCCATTGGAAGTTGATTCCACCAACGTTGAAATCTCCAGCTAAAGGATCTGGGAAAAAGAAGCCGTGTTTAAATCTCCATGAAGTGTCTTGATTCCACGAGTACACTATCAGCCCGTAGCCTAGCTCATCACTCATGTAAGCGAAAGCATCCTCGCATTTTGCCCCAACGTCCACTTCAATGTTAGCAATAAAGGTGTTTGGGTTTGTGTCTTCCGGCCTAAGTTGATATCGTCTTAAACGCTTACTAGTTTTCAGGTCAAAGACGTTTAGAGCGTAAGGGCATGGGTTTTTCATGTTAGCTCCAATACCCGTAGTTCCGGTATCAAGCACCCACAATCTGTCACAGCGATCCACCTTTACTCTATCCACACTTGTTAATGCATTGTTACAGTTGCCCGCCTCGTTTGATTTCCAATCGGGGAAGGGAATTAAAGCGGGCGACTTGCTATCGTATCGATCAAGATCGACATAGTTCAACGTGGAGGGTACCCCTAAAAGTGAGTCTGCGGAATAAACGTCGAAATGCGTAATATATACCTTCCTTCCATCTGGGTAAAGTCACAAACATTTTGTTATTCCAAATCTCAATGCCGACTGGAAGGCCGTTGGCAGGGATGTAATCTCCGTTTAGCATGGCGTTATAGCGATCTTGATCCGTTGGATAGGCAAAGTCGAAGTAATTCCATGCAAAAATCTCCTTCAATTTTTTAGCTGCTTGTACTTCACCTTTCAACAAGGTGAATAATAGCAGTGCCAGTTTAAACGTCTGCATTGTTACCTGCAATACGAAACACACCACACCAATGAGTAAATGTATAACTAATTTCAAACGTGGAAGTAAATTTACTCATAGCAGATTTTTCACTTTTCTTTCCAAGATGTAGGTGTCACTTTCTTGTCGTTATTGAAATGAGAGGAACATTTACAACTTTCTTTATACATGAGAGTGATCTTGCTATAATTAAACTGTATTGGTATGAGCTAACTGACATGACAGCGGATGTATTACATAAATGTTAGATCTGAATTGTATTTAGGTACACACATTTATCAGTTTGCTTAGTTTATTTTTGCAATAATTTTTCGACTAGAAGCTTTCACTGCCAAACACACCTCAAATAAAAAAATAACGATGTTGTTACAAAATTTGTTAAAATATTTGATATCACTTTTACGTTAATTATCGAATTGCCCCTTCTCCTAATTTATCATTGAGAAAATTATATCACTATACATAGTTACGTACAATCTTAAATCTTTTTTGCGAGGAGTACCCACGCGTGCTTCATCAATGAATAATTAATTAGAAAAAAATTATTCTACTTACGATCATTTCTTCACAAAGGTTTATCAATCCCCTACGTGATTTATGACAGGCACCGCTAATTTAGTACGATATAGCATTCACCAGTATCATACACCTTTTGCTACCACTTGTTGTCTAAGAGTTAGTCTAGAAAGTCGATCAATTTATACCCCCAATTGACTTAGAACGTTAAGGTGATCCATTTGGTGAAAAAAATCTGTAATGCTGTTTACGTCCAATACAGATAGCATAAAATTAGCATTTTTAATTTCCTGCTTGTTTTGATATTATGTGTAACTTACTATTTAAATGTTTAATTCAAATTTATGAAATTTTTCCCATTTTCCGCACCTGCTAGCATCCATTTTTTCTAAATTCTTTAAATTGACCAATGAAAATTCGCTATATCGTATTTCAACAAATAAAAGTTTATAAGTAGATACCTAGGAAATGTCCACATTTACTGTTATCAGATGCTTATTGACCCAGATTATTGTTTTTCATCATAATTAGTATGTCCGGGGTTTCATAAGTGTTTTAACTTTAATTGATATTGACAGTAAGGAATGTTTAATAACAAGGTTGGGGTTACAAAGTCAGTATCAAGCAGCTTTTCATGTGTAAATAAACCGCATTTTCACAATAGGCTCGCACGTTGAACGAATAAAACTTGTCAATGAAATTCACATTTCAAAGTCAACTTTAGGAGTTTTTGGAATTATGTCCACCATTCTTATTTATGATAATCGTTCTTCAGTCCCGGGCAACTTGAATGATGCCCAAAATGTGCGAATATCGTAGAAGCTTTAGTATCTTCATGGCAAAATGTACGTTGGGTATACAATGAAAAGGCGGTTTTGAAAGCTGTTCACCTGGTACAAATACATTCAACGGTAGACTGTTATTGTAAATACAAAGGGCCTGGTTTCAAATCCTAGCTATGGCATGGTTTTGCATGTTTGGATAATGGATCGACTGGCAAAACTATTCCGCCCACTATAAGATCAATATGTTAAAAAATGTCTATAAACCGCTCGCAAACCAGTCACATTCTAATTCGATTTGAAATTCCATGTCGCAATTTGGTTTAATTCTCAATAGATTTCAGAGAATTGGATATCTATCGAAGAAAAAAACTAACGTTTCTACACTTACCATGAATTTTCTTGATTTCAGAATTCGAATTTTTGTGTACGGTTATGGTTGTTTACCCATTCATATTCACTCTAGCACTGCGACATTTTTGAATTATTTTCGCAGTTTTCGCAGCATGTTACACAATTGGGAGGGTGATATGTACCATAGATTGCTAAGACACAGATACCACCCGCACACCTGCGCATTCGCGAGTCTGCCCTTTTATGTCTAAGAATGTGTGTACCATATTTGATTCCAATCGGTTCAGGCGTTTAGCTGGAAATGAGAGTAGGTACAGACAGATAGACCGACAGACCCACAGACCGGCAGACCGATCAACATCATCGAGATTTTGTTTGATTCGGATTCCTGCTGTATTTCCGTAAAACAAGTAGGGGGTTTTTTACCCCAATGCAATTCCTCCTTTATTAACGTGCAGGTGGTAAAAAATGAAAAAAGAGGGTTAGTTTTGAACTTTGTGGAGATGAAGCTCTCCCATGGAACATATTGGATATGCCTACTTGAATGTTACACCTTAAGCCTATGTTTATCGCACAGTACCAAGAACTGTAAACATCCGGAAATAAAAGAAACCGTTTTTTAGGTACAATAAGCGAAACATGAATTTTGCACAACTTTGGTGTAGATAAAGCGCATTCCTTAATTAATAATTTATTGCAACGTTTTGCCAGTCCTACGCTTGGAAGTTTTTAACGCCTGCACAGATCATTTGCTACATCTATCGAGAATTTTCATAAAGGAAAAACTGGCCCTCTCATCCAACCCAAACCTACCCACGATTAACACGTTATTAATTCCTGAAGAACTAACAAAAGCGGTGACTGCTGGACTAGAGTCTCTCTTCCGTTCCGATCGCCATTTGTGGCTACCCTCCCCCGACCCTCCCCTCTTAGATGAGGAATTATAATTGATCTGGATAATGGGTCGAGGCAGCAGAGGGCCATGGTTGGTAAAAAATTAACTTATTTCGTTGAGACCATTCATTAGAGTACCATGAAGGATATAATTAGTTCCCCCCGCTTAATAGCCATGCTACTTCACGCATTTTTCACTACTACTTCATGGATTCAATACCGACAGTTTATTGGCCTCCCATTTCGTTCTTTTTTTGTAGAACTTCTCTGATGCTGGAGACTTTCTTCACATTTTCTTTAAACTGTCTTCCTTCGCGTACACTCCATGGTTCCTAGGCTTTTTGCGTCTTATGGTTTACTAGCCCACATCCCCTCTTTTTTCACTTCTCAATTAAGTCTCCTTTACTTCTTGATCTCCGTGCCGTCCGCGTCCCATGCACGCCTTCTTCACTACTCCTATACGATATTTTCACGTGTCTTTGCAATCTCTCGTTAACGTCTCTTCCACGCTTTCTTCCTGGATTTTTTCCTCTACACTATTTCGACTGTCCATTTTAAGCTTCCTCTTTCCGTCCATTATTCACGGGTAATTGATATCTCCTTGATTTATCTAAGCCAACTTCCTTATGGCGTCACCTCTGAGGCACACCTTCTTCACGCATATTTCACGATTGTCACGCCCTCCCCCTTTTCCTTCTTTCTTCACCTCTTCTTTGGTCACGCCTTCTTTCCTCTCCACTATTCTAAGGACTGCTCATTACTTCTCCTTTCCATGTCTTTTTCCCTCCTCGCCATCAATCCTCCTTAATGTTTTCATTACATTTTTCTGCGTCAATTTATTGTCAACTTCAGGCACGCTTTACGTCCTGTACTCCTGATAATTCGCTTTCAATCCACCCTCCCATTTTCTACATGTCTATTCCAGCTTACATTCTTATACCTTATTTTCTGCTACTTCCGACGCTACTCGGAGCGCCCCGTTCATTTCTTTCACTCAGTGTCTACGCATACTTTACGGTTAATTCACGTGGCTATTTTTTCTCTACACTTTCTTTCTTCACGTTTATCACCTTCAGGTCTGCTTCACGCTTCGATTATGCACTTTTCACACCTTCTTCATTCGAGCACCACTACTGCTTTACACTTTTTAGCGCATTTTTGGAAAAAAATAGGGTATTACATTCGGTATGGCTGGCTGGCTGGCTGGCCGACTGAGGTCTCAGCAATTACAATAGCTAGAGACTTCAAATTTTCCTAAAAGCTTTCTGATGTAGTGTAGATGTGCAGGCTCTAGTCTGTTTTGAGTTGATCACTTGTGAGATCGATAATTTAAGAAAATAATTTCGATATGGTTTTCGGAGGTGCTATAATTTTACCGTTAGATAGCGCTACCAGTATAACAACTTAATTATTAGCGCATTTTTGAAAAAAAAATACAGATTTATATTCGTTATGGCTGGCTGGCTAGCTGTCCGGTTGAGATCTCAGCAATTACAATTGCTAGAGACTTTAAATTTTCACTAAAAGCTTTCTGTTATAGTGTAGATGGGTTCTAGTCTATTTTAAGTTAGATTACTCGTGAAATTGATAATTTAAAACTCTGCTAATGAAATACTGATCGGCATTACCAAAAATGCGCTTTCATCATGCATATGTTTTTGTTCAGTGTGTTTCTCCTCAGGCCTCGTTTTTGCACGCCCTTCTCTATTTTCTTCACTCCTCGACAGTCCTCTTTCTTTACACATGGTTTACGTTCTCGTTTTACCACTTGCACGTTAGTAAGGGAGATAAAAAATGACCCCTCACTTTTTCGACGGCAATACACGTTTTAAGGCGTCGAATAAAAAATAACGATGGGCGGTCTGTCAGTCTGTTTGTCTGTACTACTAGCTCATTTCCAGATAACCTATCACCTTCACTGGGCTATCGTGGTTGACATTTCAGAATTGTGCAATCCGCAATTTATAGACCGCGTGCCAAGCGATTTATTTTCAATATAATATATACAGGGTGGCAATTTGAAAACTTACCACCCCCCATGTCTTAGTAAAGAGATATTTAAAAAAATCAAAATCCGTTTCGGTAATTCGGAGGGGGAATCACAATGACATAGTTGGCGACACACCCCTTCCAACCCCCTGCGCCCAGCCACCCCAACTTATAAATCTTAAATAGTGACCCCCCATGTGTGATACGTCGTTGGAAAGCTCTGAAAAAATGCTTTCCAACCATACCAAATAGCATTACATTTAGGGTAGTAATTATCGTGCAACACAAAAAATAAACTAACTTTCTTTAATTTTTTCTATTGGAATCATATTTTTTATTTTTGATTATTAAAATGTAAGTCGTTACGAAAATTTTGCTACCCCGCGCACCTCTGTACGATGAAAAAAATAGATTTTTCATCCCCTTGAAAGAGGTAATTTTTTTCAGAAATCGTGAGATCTCGGAAACGGTTCAAATTTACGGGCCCAAAAAAATTATCTCCTTTTTTATCATAAAACAAGGTATGTTTCCTCCAAATTTCAAACCTCTACGACATTTTTTTGCAAAAATAAGAATAAAAAACGAAAAAAACAGTTTTTCCGGTTTTTCTGGGAAAATTGGAGGTTATGTGAAAATAGTGCAGATACAAAAGCTGCTCATTTTTTTAATCTCTATAACTTTTACATTTAATATTTTCATCTAAAATTAATAGTTTTGCGACAATTTGCAAACACCAGTTTCCACCCCTTTCAACCCCTGGGATTTCAACCGCGGAAAAATTCAGCCGTTTTAATTATTTTTTCCCAATTTATATTCATTTCACCTGCCTGAAAAACCCGGTTTCGCCCGGTAACTAATTTTTTTTGTAAATAAATTTTTTAAAAGCTACTAGAAACTACCTACTAGTATTTTTGTATAAATTTTGGAAAGGTTTTTAATGACTGTTACTTTATTGGCAAACATATATCCACGGTATCCATTACGTTTTTCAAATTATTTTTAATTCTATACGCAATGGAAAGAAAACCATTTTGTCAAAAACGCGGAGATGTGTTCTAGCCAATTATAATGAAGTCATTACAGTTATGCCATGAGCGCGTGTTAATTCTAATATGTAATTATATGTTTATGTTCATAATTGGAAATAACTTTTTATGAAATAATTATACAGAAAACAATTTCACAAGTGGAACGTTTCATTAGGAGTCTAGCGAAGTCAATCTTGTGCGGAAGTCCACAGAAGTAATTCAAGAAAATAATTGTTTTTGACACAAGCCACTATTTTTGTGATTTCCTTTGCGCTCGGCAAAAAAAGTGTTAAAGAATTTTACCAAACCCGGTAATAGGGCGGGGAGTGCCATATATTGAGATTGAGATGCGGAAATCGAAAGATTTTCCATCATAAGACGTGTATGTGTGGGAGTACCAATTGTATGTGACAATTTATTTAATTACCACTATAGGAAGTTGGTGCATAAACAAGCCATTCTTTATTCTCATGCCAAAGGATAAATACAATTAAAAGAGGAGCAATGCATAGAAAAATTCACTTGCCGTTTACAAACCACTGGTTTATTAATTATTATTATACAAGTCGACACGCCCATGGTTGGAAAAATTATAATATTGAAGTTTTTGATTGAATCTAAAAGAGAAAATTGTGCTAAATAACTGCATTGCACTTGTGCAACTTAGATCAGTTATTCCTGCAAAATAATGAGGTCTGTGTAAATGCATCCGTATGATGTAATCAAGTAACACGCAAAAAATTAACGCACCTACAATATTAGTAATACGATTATTATGATTTCATTTTCAGGAAATGAAAAAAACAAATTCCGGCAACTTCCTGGTTTGTCCATTATCAGTAGATGTGGTTCTCGCCCTCGTTCACGCCGGCGCTCGTGGTGAAACCGCCAAACAACTTTCGGCAGGTCTCCAACTTCCCGAGGATCATCAAAAGGTGCAAGCCATTTTCAAAGAGCTGTCACCGAAACTCAGAGGGAACGAACACTACACATTGAGTAGTGCCAACAAAGTTTACTTAGCAGAAGGATTTAAAGTGAGCGACGAGTTTAACAGTGTCGCAGTTAATGTGTTCCAATCGGAAATTGAAAATATTAACTTCGCGCAAAGTAAGGCGTCTGCTAATGAAATGAACAAATGGGTAGAAGAAAAAACACATGACAAAATAAAGAATTTAATTAAAGAAGATGATTTATCTGAAGACACAATCGCCGTATTGATTAATGCACTGTACTTTAAAGGATCTTGGGTTAAGCAATTCAGCGAATACGGCACTCGGAAGCAACCCTTCTATGTTACCAAAGAAAATCAAGTGGACGTCGATATGATGGAAATAACCGAATTTTACAACTACTACGAAGATTCAACTTTGAATGCGAAATTTTTAGAAATGCCTTACAAAGGAGAAGATATCAGTATGACCTTTGTTTTACCTAACGATGTCGACGGCTTGGGGGCGTTAGAAGATAAGATTGAAGCAGCTCTTGCCACTCCCAAGTATACCAATGAACGTGTACATGTGCAATTGCCCAAATTCAAAATTGAATCCACAATTCAGTTCATACCAATCCTGCAAAAAGTAAGTAGTTTGATTTTATCAATTCTGTTGCGCAGTAGGTAATTTATACTCACGATTGAAATTTTCAGTTAGGAGTCAAAGATTTGTTCGAAAATAATGCTGACCTTAGCGGAATTGGTGCCAATAAACAAAATCTGACCGTAACGAAAGTTATACAAAAGGCCTTCATTGAGGTGGAAGAAAAGGGAACAACTGCTGCTGCAGCCACTGCTGGTAAGTCTTCTATTCTTACGGTTTGCTAGCATTTCTTAATGCTTTGCTTTATGGAACTCATTTTTGGTGCGTTTGGGTAGTGTATGCAATGTTTCATTTGAACGTAACTTAACATAGTTGCATGGTTAAAGCTAACAACATTGGAATTGTGGGCGATATAATAATATAATGCACAAGTATTAGGTACACCGGGCGTTGGTGACAAAAATCTAATAAAAATCTAGTAAATTGTGAAATATCAAACCCCAGAACTTTTTGTGCGTGGATGGGGGCAGGGGGCAAGTATTCAATTTTCGCCAGACTGCTTTACTTATTAATATTATTATTATTATCTTATACTTCAAATGGACTCTTAGAAGGGGGTAATATTTTCATGGTATAATATAATAGCTAAAAATGGATTTATTCCATACATATAGGATGTGGGTTAATTCCAGTTATAGCCTCTAATAAAACTCATGTCGATTATGTAGAGTTGTGTTGTCACCAACGCCAGGATTATACTTAACAATAACAAAGTAATAGAATAATAATTTTTTTCGAATGGTATGTCTCGGTATCTCAGAAACAAGCGGTGGTGGAGAGACGATTACATGGGAAATGGTAACCCGTTTTTAAGTGCTCAATTTGATATGTTTGGAAGAAGAAAATGCAGGTTTGTCTTCTGATTGTTTGGTCCTCTCTCGACAAAAAATTTTCGAATTGAATATTGAGCTTCTGGAGATCAGCCCTCCTTGGTTGGAAACTAATTTGTCCTATAGTCTTGGTTTAAAAAAATCAAGAGTGCCTTTGAAATTAAAAAAAAAGTTTTTTGCAGAGGGATAATAATATTAAGAAAAGTGGTTCAGAATGAAAGACTGAGTAAAAGTAGACTTTGATTTTTTTGCTTTTGTTTTTTATCTGGATTTTTTTGAGGGAATTACAAACAATTTTTGAATTACGGTACAAACATTTCTTTTTTTTTAAACCATAATTTTCTATGTTTATGCCAAGGTTTATGCTAAATATTTCTTTTTGAAAGGGTTGCACGATAATATACGGCTGGTCTTGCGTGTTACCGTTAAATGCGTTGGAGGTTGGATAGTAAATAATTAATAGTAATTGAAAAAATGCATTAACAGAGAAAGTTATTTATCGATTCACTTTAACTTAATTTTTGAACCGTTCAAGTAATAAATTACTGTAGTACCCCAAATTCATAAACGCTATAGAAATCGAAATAAAAATTAAAAGAAAAAAGTTTTTGCGCGATTTCCAGTTAGTCGTCCAACACAAAGGGTGTATTAAATTCGCCTGATTAAAAATTTTTTTCCAATTTAATCGTCGCTCCGCTAGTTTCCGAGGTAAAACGAGTTGTTGATTAGTACTCGTATATGGGAAACTAATGCGAATAGACCTAGAGAAGTGGCACTAGGTTATTCAATAATCCTGCTGAAACGTATTCAGCCTACGTTGCTTTACACTAGCTATATTTTAGTTGTCGACTTGCAGAGGTCCTAGTTTTTATTCATTTTTTTTTAATTCACGTTCACTTTGAACAAAGACAATCGGTACACGTCTAATCCAAGGTTTTCGAATTATGTGATTTTTTTCGAAATATTTTACCCACATATTTTCTTCAGTAATTCAAACGAGACAACGCTGTTATTTTTAGGATCTGCGTAAAATATACTGATTGTTTACTTTGTATTCAGGAACTGTTCAAAAATAATAACATTTTAAGCTTGGTCAAAAATTCGAGGTGTTTACAATGAACGTAATTTTTACGTACGTATATGTAAGCGATATGTAAGTCTTGCGCATAGTCGCAATGGTTGAAAATGTTTCAAAGTTACGTACGGTCAAATATCATACTACTTGTAGTATGATCTTTGGTTTATTGTAAACAGCGAACTAAATTTACGAAAACGATACGGATATGTAGGAGTTACGGTTTATGAAATATTTACGTATACGTTCATTGTAAACGCACACTTAGAACTGAAAAAACGTCTGTTGTGATAAGCCTTAATACCCACCCAAATAAACAACATATTATATAAACGTCAGATAAAATACTTTTCAAATTTCATAATTTTTGTCAATTTTACTTAATTTTATTTTTGACCTTTATTTTTGAGTGAGCGGGGTCTCAGCCAAGGCTGCTGTACCAACCCAACCCTCTATACATTTATAAATATCCATGCTTGAACTCGGATTCGAACCCGGGACCCTTAGCACGGCAATCGAGCTTCAACTCAACTGCGCGACGCACGGTTACCGCGTACCTCTCATCGCAGTATATTGCATTAAGGTATATTGCAAATAAGCGAAAAACGACATTTGGAGCTATTTTTCTAAGATGTCCCCCAGATTTACCGCTAGAGGAATATTGGAGGCACCACGCTTGGTAACAAGTAGAATTCTACTACTACTCCTTATATGTATTACATTAACAATTGAAAATACCGTTAATAAAATGCAGTACGTTTAGTTTATGTCATTAATAACTGGACCAACGACGCGTGAATGTGTGAACTTACCTCATTTATCACATTATTGTATAGTTTAACTTCATATGATTGATGATTTAAATACTTTTTTGTATCTTAGAATCTTATACCATATCGCAGGCCATTAATTAATGTACAGTTGATCTTTACGCGTATAAAGTATGCACTTGACCGTTGCCATCTCGGTTGCCATAATATCGCAGAACTGGTTGCGGATTATTTAAATTTGTTCCTTGCAAGGTAGTTTGACGCTATGCTAATATTTACAGTGCAATAAATTCTCTCGAATGCATGACCAGTATAGTTTATTAGGAAAGATTACATCTATAGTTCATGGGCTCATTATTCTTTACAGTATTAGGTACTTTTTACGGCTGTATATATTTGCCAAATATCGATCGGTAGAAGTGATTGGGCCAAGGGTAGTTTATAATTTCCAATTTCTTCAAATCCAAAACTCCACTCTGCGACTAATTTTGATCATTTTTTAGGCATATTGGACACGAGAATTGATTATGGAGACATAACTAAGGAATTCAACGCAAATCATGCATTTATTTACTTTATTAGGGATGCTAATAGTGTATTATTTGTCGGCAGATACGTTTCGTGATTATGTGTATGTTTTATATTTCTGTTGTTTTTTTTACGTATAGATACAATGCAATGCATTACACAATATAAAACGATTATCATAAATATTCGCCTATGCTTTAAAATCAAATTATCGATGTGCTGACAATAAATTAGAGTTATAGAAACGTTTCTCTAATTTTCATAAGTGCTTTAACAAAATATTTAAATTTTTGTTCATTTTGGGATTATTAACATATTCATAAGCTGCACTTCCGCTTTTTTAGAATTAGATACAACTGCTTGAGTAGTGCAACTACGCTAAACTTGATTGATTTCTGTCGTTAATAGTTCCTTAGTGTCGATCACCAATACTTTCCATGCAGAAAAACTCGAATCAGTTGCTTCAAGTAAAGTAAAGCATTTACTCTGGTAAAAAAAACATTGTCGCTGTTACTATTATTGTAATTGCTTGGCAATGGTACCTACATACATAGCTGTATCTTGTTGTTGATCCGTCAGTATGCTGCGAGTAGCACATAATAAGTACATATTACACTTCCAGTTTGGGTATTAGTCGCTTCTGACAGAATCTCCCTTTTCAGAAGTACAAATATCATAAGTAGTACCCAAAGGACACGTTTAGTTGGTTGCGTGTACTGTCTTATCTGGAACACATTCTCTTCACCTGTGCCTAGTTGTACTTTTATGTACTTACAGTATTTGTGTTGTAGGTTATTGGTTTTGACGGGACTGCGCCTACGAAATTAATAGCTTGTTGCGTATAAAGGGATAATCTTTTAAATTGTGCTGTATGGTGCTTCTGTGTATCGAGTGTCCTAGTTTGGTTGATACTGCAGTGTATTTTAGCTGTTTTTAAAGCTAGAGCCTTGTGGTTTTCGCGACACTGTGCCATTTTATTAAGTAAAGAATAAAGATAGTTACGTTTGATTCTTATATACAGGGTGATCACGAAAAGTTTGACGTTTTGGAATGTGTTCATATCTTAGTACTCATGTAAGATAGAAAAACTGCACATTTGAGATATTTTTACGTAGACTCTCGCGACGCAGTAGAAAAAATTTTGAATCATCTTTTCTGAGATTTGACCCAAAGTTGGTATTTTTTAAATGCAACACCCTGTATATCTTAACGTGATTTTTTGCATTATTTTTGATTTTATTTTGTTTATTCTATCCATTGTGACTAAGGCAGCCGATACCAATCAATAAAAATTGTTGACGGTAATTTCAAAAATTTAAACTATCATATGATATACAGGGTCGTTATAAAAGATCGTTCCAAAGCTCTCGCGCTCAAACCATTTGTAATATAGACATGAAAATTAGAACGCTTCCATTTAAAATTATGTATTTCATATATTTTGTGGTTGAAAATTATTGTTTGACACATAGTTTTTGAATGCGACCGTTATCTTGAATTTTTTCTAATGGCAACATAGATTATATGAAGCGTTATTAGAAAGCTTATTTTTCTATTTTTCGTACTGTAAAAATGTTTTTTAACCTCAAAACGTGTGAAATAATTTCAAATAGAAGCGTAAGTATTTTGAGTGGATCTTATGAAATAGTACTGCCGGTGCTTTCGTCCCTACGTCCCATTGTATCAGCACACAGAACGTAAATCAGTGACATGTCTTCACTAACTTTTGAACAATACCACAACGGCCTAAAAAGTATACATCCGAGTATCAAATTTGGAATGCAATGGGTCCGCGCTAGAAGAAGTATCTGACTATATTACCCAGCCCAGTTATGTACATTTATTGGACCAAAGCAATTATGGAACACCGTTTTCTGAATTAGAATTTAATATACTACTAGATTGTCCCCCGTGACTTCGTATGCTAGATATTGACGGATATATGATAAGCAAAACTAGGCTCACAGAATGTACAAATGTAAATACATCGGC